CAAAAGAGGCTGATCAGTATTTTTAGGATAGAATCCGAGGATAGTAATACTCCAGTTCATTGACAATAGTCAACAACACAAGCCACAGCATGCAGAATACTATGAAAATAGTTATTCGACGTCCTATCGCATTATGGCCTCAATTTTCAGAACCAAACTATAGATAATATCCTGAATTTGATGAACCGAACTGTTGTCTAAATTCGAAAGTCCCTAGCCCATCAATAGTATTTTTTTAAAAATTTGTTAACCGAACTATTGTTGCATAAATTCCAAAGTTACTCCAACAATAGTACCTTCCTTCTGAATTTCATTAACCGAACTATAGTTTGCCTAACTTCGAAATTTACTCCAACAGTAGTACCTTCTTTTCGAATTTAATCAACCAAAATATTGTTACCAAAATTCGATGGTCTCTAATCCAACAGTAGCACCTTCTTTTTGAATTTGATCAATCGACGTATTGTTGCCTAAATACCAAAATTACTCCAACAATAGTACCTTCCTTCTGAATTCCATTAACCGAACTCTTGTTTGCCTAACTTCGAAATTTACTCCAACAGTAGTACCTTCCTTTTGAATTTCATTAACCGAACTATAGTTTGCCTAAGTTCGAAAGTTACTCCAACAGTAGTACCTTCTTTTCGAATTTGATCAACCAAACTATTGTTACCTAAATTCGATAATCTCTAATCCAACAATAGTACCTTATTTTTGAATTTGATCAACAGAACTATTATTGCCTAAATTCGAAAGCCCCAAGTACAACAGTAGTACCTTCTTTTCGAATTTGATCAACCAAACTATTGTTACCTAAATTCGATAATCTCTAATCCAACAATAGTACCATCTTTTTTGAATTCGATCAACCGAACTATTGTTGCCTAAATTCAAAAATTTCTAATACAACAATAGTACCTTCTTTTTGAATTTAATCAACCGAACTAATGTTGTTTAAACTCGAAAGTTCCTAGTCGAACTATAGCTGTTCTATCTTAAATTTCATAACCCAAACTATTGTTACTAAAATTAGATGTCATCTCCTTGCTACTGTTTTTCATCAACCAAACTACTGTTACCTGTACTAGAGCCAGTCAAGTTTAGGTAACACAAATTCGTTGAAGAAAAAAATAAATAAAAAATAAAGCAACTATAATTGGACTACAGGTATCCGAGTTTAAGTACCAATTGTTCGGGGTTAAGGAAAGCCGTAGTGAAGAAACTATAGTTCGACTGAGAAATTCTAGTTTTAGTAACAATAGTTTGGTCGAGGAATTTCAAGACGAATTCTGAACTAGATCATGTATGTAAGGAGGGGAATGGGAAGATATTGTTTGGTAAAGGAAGGAGCCAAGGAAGTATAGCCTGCAGTGGGAAGGGTGTAACCACTGTAAGCTAAAGTGCGCATCAGTCACGTGGGACCTCCTTGGAGAGCCGAAAGTAAAGCGTACAAAACAATTCGATAAAACCTTAAGTCTATCATCCAGCTCCTCGGCGAGACACTCGTACACCAAGTGTGGGAGAATGAGAGAGGAAACTAGGAGTTTACAGGTACCATTGGGAAAAAGGTGACTGGCACGACGGAACTGAGAGGGAGGATGGAAAAGCAGCGGCGGGAGATCTGAGAAATGGTCTAGTCAAGTACCATTCCAAGGTTCTTGACAGTGGTACATAAAGAGATATGATGATTGTTAATGGTAAACGGAGGGATAAGTTTAAGCCCGTTTTACGGAATAGGGAAAGTCGTTAGTGTAACAGCAAAAAAGAAAAGCAGAGCTACTAGACCCTTGAAGGACTCCCGAAGTGATGGGTTGGGGGGAAAGGAGGGGGCTTATTTGGGATAACACTTGAGAACGATATGAAAGGGAAGATCAGAAAACCAACTAAGGACACTGCGGGAGAAGGGATAGTTAGGGTGCTGTCTAAATTCGATAGTTAGTCCAACAACAGTACTTTATGAATTGAACAATAGTACTTTCTTCCCATATCAGTGACAAAGTAAACAAAGGTAAAGAGGCTATCCGAGTACTTTTCCCTCTGCTCTGTCGCCTGTCGATATGCTTCTTTTGTAGAAGGTGGTGGTCAGGCCCATCCTCCTGAATGCGTACCCCATTGTATATAATGTATAAAACATATATTTGTAAAAAAAATTCTGTTTTGTAGTACTTTATTTTTGAATATGATCAACAGAACTATTGTTGCCTAAATTCGAATGTCTCTAATCGAAAAATAGTCCTTCTTTTTGAATTTGATCAACTGAACTATTGTTGCCTAAATTCAAAATTTACTCCAACAATAGTACCTTCCTTCTGAATTTCATCAACCGAACTATTGTTCGCCTAAGTTCGAAAGTTACTCGTACCTTCTTTTAGAAATTTCTTTTAATAGTAAGTAGACCTTCTTTTCGAATTTGATCAACCGACTATTGTTGCCTAAATTCGAAATTCCCAACAACAATAGTACCTTCTTTTTGAATTTGATCAACACAATTATTGTTGCCTAAATTCGAAAGTTCCTAAACGAACTATAGTTGTTTTATCGTGAATATCTCACCCACAACTATAGGCGCTTCATCTTGAATAATAGCATTATGCCTAACTGAACTTTGTTTGTATAATCGTGATTGTCTCTTACCCACATTACCTGACTGACTGACTGACCTATCATGGATTCCTTTATAGTCAACTATTGATTGTAGTCAACCAACGTTTATGATGAATTATTTCTAGTTGAAGCTATAGGTAGTTAAAGTTGAATTTTTAGTTTGTGATGAAGTTAATCAACCAGGCTGTTTCCTTTCCAAAACGCGTGCTTTATATGTTTCCAAAGCAGGTGTGCAGTACGTCAACGGCTATGGGTATGCCGAGGATGCATCCGCATACTCTCGAACATTAGGCGCGTCGACTTTTTCCCTTTTTATGTGCGTTTTATCAAAGCGGACCGCGGTGCCCGCTCCCCTTCCACCGTCCATCGGTTTTTCGCCTCCAGTTCGCCATCGGCAGCCGACAAGTGACGACCGGCCATGCTGCTGACGACGAGAGGGTTCGTCGTCTTATTCGCCCTGTTCGCAATCGCGGTGCACGGCCACATCAAACAACACCGGACCCTCGTCAAGTCCGCCGGTACGCAACTTTACTTTCTAGCACCAAAATTTTTTTGGTCAAACCCCCTCCCTCCCACGTCAGAAATTTTATGCACAAAATTGTGCGAATTTCAGTTTCGAATCATAACAACATCATGAAATCATAAAGAAAAACATGCTGGATATCGCGTTCTGCCTGATTTGGCACGGTGTAATTTGCCTATAATCGAAGCGTTTTAAGGACGCAGAGGTGTGCAATTGGTCGAAAATCTATAGAAAACTGAAAAATCTGCCAGATAAATAGTCACAATCGAATTCAACCAACTTTCTAACTTTTTCCCATGGAAATCTTTTTTTTTTTTAAATATTCTATCTATTATTTGAAAAATCGAGCGACGTGCGAGACCTCGCGGACCCAAGGCGCGCGAAACTTGGTTTATTTATTTATCTTTTTAAAGAAACGCCCTGCCTTCCTTCACCCAAGGATAAAGAATTTTTTTCTTCTTCTCCTTCATATTATATTTTCACGGATTAGATCGAAGCGCCCCCCCCCCCCCAAAAAAAAGAAGTAATTTTCCTAAAAATTTTGTTTAAAAAATCCATTTTCCGCTCGGGACACCTTGAACTTGACTCTTATCCGGTACGTTTTCACTCTTGCACGATTTTTCTACCTTGCCTGATATGACTGACGCCGTAGATAAAAGTTAACTAGATCAATTATATTTATCAATCTATCAATTTTTCCCATTTATATATCCATTTGACCTAATTAATTATTTATATAAACCTTATCACAATAGCTCAATTATTTATCGATGTATTTCACAATTTATCCATTCCTGACTATCTTTTAACCTATCCACATTTTTATCAATTTTCCCACTTACATATCCATCTATGTAATTACTTATGAACTATCAAAGTGCTTATGTATTTATATATCCAGCTACACTACGCGCCTGTTATTTTTTAATTGATCCATTTATTTATCAGTCTTTTTTATCCATCGGTTTAATTACTTATTGAACAATCCATCTATAATTTATCCATCTATTTAATTGCTTATTAAAGTGCACTTTTTATCCATTTTTTTATCAATATATTTATTTACTTATTTATCCTTCCAATTATTTATCAATTTTTTACCCACCTATTTATTTACTTATTTGTTCTTCCAATTATTTATCAATTTTATATCCACCTATTTAATTACTTACTATAGTCTACTTATTTATCAATTTTTATCCATATATTTACTTACTTATTTATCCTTACAATTTTTATCTATCTATTTAATTACTTATTGAAGTATCCAATTATTTATCCGTATGTATATATTCATATATTTAATTACTTATTAAAGTACCCAATTATTTATCAATTTTTTACGCGTCCATTAATTTATTCATTTATATATTTAATTTACATTTATTTACTTACTTATTAAAGAATCCATTTATTTAATTAGTTATTAAAATATCAATTATTTATCCATTTATATATCTATCCATTTAATTACTTATTAAAGTACCAAATTATTATCCATTTATACATCCATGTATTTAATTACTTATTAAAGTATCCAATTATTTATCTATTTATATATCCATCTATTTAATTACTTCTTTAAGTCCACTTATTTATTAATTTTTTATCCATATATTTATTTACTTATTTATCCTTCCAATTATTTATCAATTTTTTATCCATCTATTTAGTTACTAATTCAAGTATCCAATTATTATTTATCCATATATCTATTTATTTAATTACTTATTAAAGTATGCCATAATTTATACTTTTTTTTATACATTGGTTTAATTCCTATTCAAGTATTCATTTATATATCTGTCGATTTAATTATTTATTAAAGTATCCAATTATTTATCAATTTATCATTTATATCTCAACCAAATGACCTATTAACCCTTCAAATGTATCCATATATTTACCTATCAAATTATTTGATGTTGCTGCAGAATCTCCAAGGTTATACCAATCTTCTCCATATGCCCATTCTGCCTGTCCTGTCAAGTCTGCTGTCTTTTTCCTTCCAAAATTTGCTATAAGGTTCTTTGATTGTTTACGTCCAATGAGTGAATTGCACTGTTTTTCCTCATGGTGGTCATTTGTATTGTGAATACCGATGCTGTAACCTGCGAAGTTCGCTTTCTTATTTCCCTCTGCTGGGCACGTCCTGGGACCAAGGAGAGGGTTTATTTTGCATTTATCTAATCCGTTTAGTTTTGCAAGTCAGCTGAGCAAATGATATGCGAAAGGTGGTAATCGAACCCACGATCGCGGGCTCGACTAACCAACATTCTGACCCCTTGACCACTCCGCTATCGCGGTCCACCCAGCTTCAAGGCTTCAAAGTTAGGGGAGCGATTCAATCTTTAGTCCAGCCTCCCCACCTTCTTTTGCCTTCCTTCGGTCCTGGCAAATATCGTCCTTTACCTCCCGGTCACTACACGATCATATTGGTGGGGCGGAAGCTGGAAACTGGTGGAAATCCGCCTTCTAGCCATTAGTCGTCCTTAAGACTCCACGAGGATGCTTCTACTACTCCTCTCCAGTATGGTCGTCCAAAATGCACCTCCGTATCTACCAATTGGTACGTAGGCAACTACTTATATATATTTTATATTTCTAGATATCCAACTACTTTTTATATCATCTTCCTTCTAAGATAACAAACCAAATCCATTCTATATCATTATATCTTACACTTTTCCATTTCCAAATCCATCTTCTCACTTACCTATTAACTTATCTAATTATTTACGAATTTGTCAATTTTTTATTCATTTATTTACGTACCGGTTAAGCAATTCATAAATGAGTAGGCAGGCAGGTATATCAATGATAAACGGATAGGAAGGGTAGATAATTGGAAATATAGAAAGGCAGATAGACAGAAGATTAAGAATTACTTAGGTAATTGGAAGGATAGGTAGGTACATGGATAGATTTCTTCATACATAAACAGGTAGGTAGGTGAGTAAATGGAAAAATAGAAATATAGGTAACTAGATAAAAGCATAGAAGGTTGGGTAAGTAGGTGGTTAGATGGATGGGTAAATAGATGGACACATCGGTTCATAGATAAGCAAGTATGTGCTTAAGGATACCTGGGTAGGTAACAAGACGAAATGATGGATAGGTAGTTAGGTTTATGGAAGGATAGAGGTAGATGGAAAGAAAGATAGTAGATAGAAAGGTAGGCAGACTTTTGGATAAATTTATTCCTAAGTAAGGAAGTAGATGACAACAGCCGAAGGTAAAAAGTAGGTAGAAGGAAAGCTATAAGGGGTAGACAGATTCTTAAATAAGTAGTGAAATAGGAATAGGACCTAGGACATGTCCAACAGTCTTCATATATCTTCAGATTTCGACCAAATTTTTTTCTTGAACAATCTTTCAGTTATATTTGGGATGTATGTTTTAAACTTTTGCAACTGTCGTTGAATCTACTTGATGTTCGCTTTGGATAAACCATAAAAAGCGATTCGTGATAAAAATCCGCGTCGAACGACACCACTCGCCTAAATCCGTAGATTTTTTTAAAGGAGGCACAGCGACTAGAAGATGAGAAACGCCAATATACAAGAAGTACAAGGACAGCGACAAGAAGAACATCGTAACTTTTCAAAATAAGTTTTTTTTTCAGAGACTTGAAACTTCATGTATGAAAAAAATTGCGCCTAGGATAATTTAACCTAAAAATTGTAGAAAAATGTCTAAAATGTTAAATATTGAAAAATTATGCTAAAACCTTTTTTTAAAACTGATTTGTAATTAAAAGACAATTTCAAATATTTATTGTTCTTTTTTGCGCTCTAGTCTTTATTTATTTTATTTTCAAGTGGCAATTTCACAACTGTTCGATGTACTGATAAGCCCGATTCGCGACACCCTGACCGAGGCCGTCAATTAATTATTCTATACTTTAAAATCGCAATAAAATTATAAGAAAAGTCAATTAAAATGTCTTGTATAATTTTTTTAAAATTATAATTATTGATTACGTATTTATTATTTAAAAAATCACGATCAAGTGTTTGGTTGGTAAACTGATGATTGATAGATAAGGTAGGTGAGTAGCAGGATAGATTGGTTGATAAACGGAGAAACGGGTTCAGTAGTCAGTGGGTTGGTCGATTGATGATGGATACACAAATTTATACTATCTATACTTTTTTCTAAAACCTACGTCACACCAGACCAGATAGAAAAGTAGACAGGTAGGCGGATAGGTGTTTGAGCAAATTTGGTCAAAGGAAGGCAGGTAAGCAGTGGGTAATCTACCCATTTTTCTATATGCCCAATCATCTGCGAATATACGCATTCTTAGGTAGGGCTTATAGAGGGATAGACTTATAGACTTAGGATATACTTAGATCGAAGTATGGGTAGGAAGATGGATAGATTGAATCACACATTATCAGGTAGGTAGAAGGATAAATGGGTGGGCAGTGGTAGTTGTGGTAGTTGGATAGATTGGTTCATAGATTAGCTGGTAGGTGGTAGAAGGATGGTTAGATAAATCGACATTTTGGCTTAAGGGTAAGCAGGAAAGTAGATGGATAGAAGGGTAGATGGATAGATTGGTAGATAGATGGGTACGTAGATGGATACATTGGTTCATACATTAGCATGCAGGTAAATGGATAGAAGGATATAAAGGTAGGTGGGTAGATGGAAAAAAGAAAGGTAAGTAGATAAAAGGATAGATGGGTAGGTAGGTGGTAGTTAGATACATTGGTTCATAGATTAGCTGATAAGTGGTAGAAGGATCTAGAAGAAAAGGTTAGATAGATGGAGTTTTGGTGTACAGGTAAGTAGATGGATTGAAGGCTAGATGGTTAGATTGGTAGAGAGATGGGTAGGAAGATGGATAGATTTTTTTCTTAGATTAGCAGGTACGTTGGTGGATGGAAGGATTAGTTGGTAAGTAGTATTAGTAAGTAGGTTGAGAAATAAAAAGATGGAAAGATGCAAAGGTAAAAAGGTTAGTAGAAGGGTTAACAGAAGGGAAGGTAGGTAGGTAGATTCTTAAATAAGTAGTTTGGTAAATAGGAATAGGACCTAGGAGAAGAGAAACGGAAAAAAATTGGAGATAGTCAAGAAGTACAACAGCGATACGAAGAACAGCGTAAATAATCTATGAAGCAATATATCCATCTACCTACCCGTGCTTCTACCTACTACCTGCCTACCTTACCATCTATCTTACTTATCCATCTGTGATGTATAGAATATATACGGTGGGGGTATAGACGATCGTTGAAGAACGAGGCCAAGGCTGAAAAACAGTCGCCTGTGTCCCAAACAGAATAAAAACATCGTAATAGCCGTTTTTCCGTCTAATTACACACATGAGGACGCTGTCACACCGGAAAACGGCGATACCAATTCGCGTTCGGACCTGGAAGTGGGCCCAATTCCAGAACAAATATGCTTAGAGCTTAAAAGCTAATTTGACTCCTGATAAAACCGGGTGGCAGACAGTTGACACAGGCGGACCGGTGGAGACCGGATGACACCTTGAATTGCTTTGTTTACAAAATTTTTATCGCTCTACTGGAAAAATTCCAACAATTTTTGTCCTCCCGGGTTCGTGAGGTTTCGCGTTTTTCCTAAAGAATCTCAAAATGAGAACGAGCCGAAGATATAGAAACAAGTTCAAGTGGCTCCAATCGATATCCCCAGTGATAGGGGCAATCGTAACTTTCCACTCATTGGTCCGTAACCGAATGTTTCTAGGACGTTTCGACAATATTCAGCCCGGCATCATCACTGATCATTGTGTCTGTTGGAGGAAAAGGCGTTCAAACCGCCGGGGGTTTTCGAACCTAATCAAGGTGGCCTACCTTGAGTACCTTCCTCATAGGGTTAATTTTCATCTCATTCCGCGAAATGATCGCCCTAGGCAATCACGTCATCAATAGTGAGAACAAAAAATGATTCAGCTGTTCAATTATTGATTGATTGCTTGGACTAGGAAATTGGCTATGGCAATGGGTGTAGTCAGGTCTGCGATTCAGCTCTTTCAAATCTAAGAGTCGATTCATTCAATCAGATCTAGATCTGAGTGTCGACTCAGTGAGATCTCATGGTCGATTCAGTCAGTCAGATATGATAGTCGACTAAGTCAATCATACCTCAGAATCGATTTAGTCAGTCAGATTCAGATCTAAAAGTCGACTCAGTGAGAAGACCTCGTGGTCGATTCAGACAGTCAGATATGATCGACTCAGATCCGAGAATCTATTCAGTCAGTCAGATCCAAAGTCGACTATCGCAAATTTGAGAGTCGATTCAGTTAGTCAATTCCAAGAGTCGATTCAGTCAGATTCGACAGTCGATACAGTCAATCAGATCCAAGAGTCGACTATCGCAAATTTGAGAGTCAATTTAGTTAGTAAATTCGAACTGTCGATTCAGTCAGATTATTCAGATCTAAGAACGAACTTGGTCAGATTCGACATTCCGTGTTAAAACTAGTAAACGGATTTCAGATGTGGACGTGAACTGCACCAAGACGAACCACGAGACGTCCGACTTCCCGGCCGACCTGTTCACCGTTGAGGAACGCCGGTCCGGGGCCATCCTCCTCCACATCCTCTGCGGCCTCTACTGCTTCATAATCATCGCGTTTGTCTGCAACGACTACTTCTTGCCAAGCGTCGACTGCATCTGCCAAGGTGAGTCGATGTTAGAAGTACCGACCACTTTTTCACTCATCAACACTCTGGATCAAGGTTCTTGACAATTTTAAGACTAAGTCGGTCAAGGAAATTCGAGATTGCCTGTAAATAAACTTAAATAAGATAATCTGTAGACATATTTGAGATGGAATAGATCGAAACCATTGGCGTAACAGCTGAATTTGCTTTATTCTTCAAGACTATACCTTGGATCCAGAGAGTTCATGAGTGAAAAAGTGGTCGATACTTCTAACATTGAAAAACAAAAAATAATCATCTCGAGACGGTTAATTACGAGCGATTACCGTTGACGAGGGCTCGCGTTAAAAGCGAATTATCGCATTCCGTTTCAAAGTTGAATCCTTTTTCCTTAATATCAAACCATTTTTTTTGTAATGTCCAATGCAGATTTGAACCTGTCGAAGGACGTCGCCGGGGCGACGTTCATGGCGTTCGCGACTTCGGCACCGGAACTCTTCGTGAACGTGATTGGAACCTTCTTGACGGAGAGCGACCTCGGCGTGGGCACCGTCGTCGGATCGGCGGTCTTCAATACGCTCGGCGTCGCGGCGTGCAGCGGACTTGCGGCCAAAACCGTGAGACAGCCTCTTCTCTTTCCACCCCTTATTCAACCACCCCTCCAAAGTGCTTTCTTTAAGTAGCCCTTAACTAACCATGCCTTTCTACCCTTAAGAACCTCTAACTATCCCTACCCACACCCTGAACTAGCTTTATCCATATACAACCATTTCTAACCATTAACGAACCACCTCAAACTACCCTTAAACATCATAACTATCGTTCGCTAAACGCTCTTTACCTTCTATTAACTAAACTTCCCCCACCGCCCCTATCCATCCTTAACAAACCAACTCAAACCGCCCTTAACCATCTATCATTCAACACCTACTTACTCTTAACTATCATTCTCTAAACGCCCTTAACCGCCGCTACTTACTCTTAACTAACCATCTCCAACCACCCCTTTCCAGCCTTAATCATTTTTTATCCCACACCCACATACTCTTAAGTATCCTTCTCTAAACGCCCTTAACCATTGCTACCTTCGGTTAACTAACCATCTCCAACCACCTCTATCCATCCTTAACTAACCACCACACACCATCCTTAACCATCTTTTATCCAACACCTACTTACTCTTAACTATCCTTCTCAAAATGCTCTTAACCATCGCTACCTTCTGTTAAGTTACCATCTCGAACACAAATAAAACAAACTAACCATCTCAAGCCACCCTTAACCATCTTTTATCCAATACCTACTTACTTTTAACTATCTTTCTCTAGACGCTTTTAACCATCGCTACCTTCTGTTAACTAACTATCTCCTACCATCCTTAACCATATTTTATCCAACACTTACTTACTCTTAACTATTCTTCTCAAAATGCTCTTAACCATCGCTACCTTTTGTTAACTAACCATCTCCACCACTCCTAACCACCTTTAACCGCGCTTGACCTTCTCTAACTTCCTCAAACTAACCTTATCTAACCATTCTTTTTCCACCTCTTCTTCAATGACTTTTTAACCATGGTCTTTTTATTGCAGATGATACCACTGGAAGTGTGGCCGCTGTCTAGGGACTGCGGGATCTACGCGTTCGTCGTTGCTTCTTTGACTTTGATCCTCTGGGACGGCAAGGTCGAATGGTACGAAGCTCTCGTCCTCCTCGTCCTCTACCTCATCTACTGCTTCCTACTCTTTTGCCAGCAGAGGCTCCACAAAGCGGCCAAGTCCGTCCTCGAAAGTACCAACTCTTTCAGCAGCCAGAGCTCGACGGTCGCCTTGGCAATAAACAGCCACATGTCCACGGGGACGTACCGACCGTACCACCACCACGGCGAAGTCATCGGCTGGGAGAAACGCCCTTCTACCATCAAACCCGAAGAGGTGAGAACGCTCCCCCGTCTTCTTTTATCGTTTTTTTTTAATTTTTCCAATTTTTTCAGCTAAAATCAGTGGAGATGTCGAATTGCAAGGATAAAGATGAAGAGATCGAGTACGAAGCGGTCCAGGTCTGCCTCCCGCCAGAAGGATGCTGGAAGAAATTCTGGTGGTTCGTCTCATGGCCCGTAGCTTTCTCACTCTACGTCACAATACCGGACTGCAGGACCAATAGGAAAGTCTACCCAGCCACTTTCTTCATGTGTATCATCTGGATCGGGCTCAGCTCTTACCTCGTCTCTTGGATGATGACTATCGTCGGTTGGTGATATCTGACAGATCAATTTGAATATTATTTTGGTAAATTTATATTTATTAAAGGTGACACGATGGGCATCAGCGATTCCGTCATGGGTCTGACTCTAGTGGCTATAGGAGGGAGCATGCCTGAAGCGTCGACTAGCATCATCAACGCAAGGCTTGGTAATGACGATCGCGTGATCTAAGATTCTTTTCTACTTCTTGTTCTTTTTTTGCAGGTATTGCTTCGATGACAATCAGTAACGCCTTAGGGGGCAATACCCTGGATATACTACTCTCCCTGGGCCTTCCATGGTTCATCAAATGTCTCGTCCCGGAGTCGCTCAACGGAGGACCCGTCATCATCGAGTCGTCCGGACTCTTCTACAACAACGCCGCCCAGCTTGCCTGCGTCGGAGTGCTGTTCCTTTCTGCGGCGGCCAACTCATTCCGAATGGACAAGAAGCTGGGTCTCGTCTGCCTCGTCATGTACATGCTCTTCATCGGGTTCATCGTCATGGTCGAGGTGGACGTCTTCCACCTCAGGGAGCCTCAGCCGTGCTGACACCGGACAAAAGACAAACTTGTGTTGTAAATATTATGTAAATAATTGACAACGCCAAAGAAAACTTAGTTTATAGATTAAAAAAACCTTCCCCCCTCTTCTTTTATATGTTGTCCTTTGAGTGTTCAAACGCATCTATTTGTAAATATAATGTACCATACAAAACCTAAACAAAACAAAAAATTTCAAAATTTTTCCTTCTTATACAATCTCCACTCTTAAATAGGTTATATGACTGTATGACTTTATCTAAAAGAAGATGGGTTTTCAAGAACAGAGGCACTCCAAACCAAAACAGAATCATCGTTATCATCTACAAGCAAAAAGGTGATAGTTGAGATCGTTTGCACTGATGAGTATGACCTGAGAAACGACTTTGCAAGTATATTTGAATCAAACATTTTGCATGGTCCAAACAGGATTTCTTGAGGAAACCAGGCTTTCTCTTTGATTCAGATTTTCCTGAAAGGATCTTATACGCCAAATAAAAGTTGGGTTAGATTACGTAGGATAATGGACACGTTTGGATTAGGTTAAGATAGGGAAAGGTCAAATTACGTAGGATTTGGGTTAAGAGAAATACATCTTCCATATGAAGTCGTAGAGATTTCTTCTTTAGAACTTAAACTTTAGTCGGGTTAAGTTCGGTTACATTATGTAAATTCTTGCTTATAAATAATAAAAATAAATACATTCATAAAAATATTAATAATTAATGGAAAATCCCCAAAAAATCCCCCCAAAATTACGGCGCCCCCCAAAAAGAGGGGTTGGAAAAAGGGGAGGCCAAGGAAAATAGTAGTAGACAATCTTAAGTAGTCAGTTTAGCTGACTCGTGTTAGGTATAACGTTGAAATTTTAGATTAATATGGAATCAATCATCCAATGGAATGTGAGAGGACTGAAAAATAATTATTGCTTTTTGAAGAGGATCATGGTGGACCATACTCCTTTTATCATTGCTCTTCAGGAGACTCACCTTAAGAAAACGGAATCCTTTACGTTGAGAGGTTACAACGTTTTTTCTAAAGAGGCTGAGGTTTCTGAAGGAGGTAGAGCTCATGGGGGCGTGGCACTCTATATTCGAAATAATATCCCTTCTAGGAAAATTGACTTAGGTACCAATCTCCAGGCAGTAGCCGTTGAAGTGCTTGCTCCGTTAAAATATTCTGTATGTTCAGTATATTTTCCTAATGACTTTTTTTCTGAAGAAGAAGTAAGGAATTTATTTTCGCAACTTCCGTCCCCTGCAATGATTATGGGAGATTTTAATGGTCATTGCGTTGGAAAATATTATTAATGAGGGAAACTGGATCATACTGAATGATGGAACATACACTCATCTGAATACTTATACTGAGTCAGTTAGTGCAATAGATCTGACGATTGTTTCTCCGTCCCTAGCGACCAATTTTGAATGGAATGTCCTAGAAACAGATGTCCAAAGTGATCACCTCCCCATTAAAATAGAGTCCCATATTCGTACAATGGATTTTGAATTTTGTCCTAAATGGAATACCCGCATGGCAGACTGGAATAAGTATGCACAAATTGCCCACCTTCCTAATCTATGTAACAACGTCAATATAGACGTTGCCACGTTTACGGAAAAAATTAAAACTGCCGCCTCTGAAGCGATTCCAAAATTCGTGACTGGGTTCCGTGGTGGAATAGGGAATGCGAACTTATCTGTAGGGCAAAAAAAAGGCCCTAAGACGGCTGCGGAGGTTTCCGGCTGATGAAAATTTGTCAAACTTTCGTAAATCCAGAGCCAAAGAAAGAAGAGTAATAAAGGAAGCCAAACAAAATTCGCTAAAATATTTAATTTCCAATTTAGCACCACGTATGAAATCCTCGGATATATGGAGGGGATATATCAGGATATATCAGGGCAATTTCGTGCAAAAGAAAACCCCCAATTATGCCAATACTTCGTGCAGAAGACATGGTTATAACAGAACCGTTTCAAATTGCTGAGCGTATAGCTTGTCATTTTGAATCTGTTTCTAATTCCAGCTGGTATTCGGAGCGTTTCAGGCAGATAAAGGAGGAGGAAGAAAGATATGATTTAAATTTTGCAACCGATGAAGAAGAGGTTTGGAACACTCCCCTCACTCTGGCTGAACTGGATCTTGTTCTGAGTTCGGTGAAAGAATCTTCTCCGGGAAGTGATGAAATCACATATTCCATGATTAAAAATCTATCTCCAGAAGGAAAAGTAAAGCTTTTGGAGTTATTTAACGAAATATGGGGTGCGGGATATTATCCTGAAAACTGGAGGGAGTCGGTCGTGATACCCATTGCCANCAAAAAAAAAGAAGATAAAGATAAAGAAATGTTATTGTGTTTTGTTTCTTATTATTGTTATGTAGAATTAGTTTATGTATCATATTTGAATGGAAGAATAAAAGGATAAGGATGAGCCAATACTCATGCTGAGACTGTTGCTAGTCTGACTCCATTATTATTATTATTATTAGCCATACAAGCCTACGGGGAATTTTTAAATTATGGAACAAAATTCACAATTCTAATTAAAAAAAGAAACAGAAATAAATTTTATAAATTTATTAAATTTTATGCAATTTAAAATGGGAATTTTGTATGCATTTGGCCTTCCGAATTAAGAATTTTAAAAAGAAAAATTAAAGCTTGGATGGCAATAGGATAAATAAGATTACGAGTGAATGTTTGGAGTCAGAGCTTTATAGCACTCAGAAGAGATATAGCTAACCTAAGATAGAAGGTTTGGATGTTAGGGCGTGAAATGACCTTAGCCGTTAAAACGCCCTTAAAAATTAATAATAATAATAATAATATAATGAAATAGTTAAAAAATAGAGCTGTAAGCGGTAAACAACAGAAAAACAGCCAAAAGAGAAATAAAGAAAAAATCACAACGTTTTAAGTTTTGTATGGTTAGGAATGGGTCAGGTTAGGTTTGGTAAGGGTTAGATTAGGTTAGGGAACGGATTAAATACGGATTACGTTTGGTTTGGGATATGTTAAGTTAGGTAAGGTTAGAAAGGGGTTAGGTTAAGTTACGGTAGAGTAAAATATGAGTTAGATTAGGTTTGAGATGACTGAAGTTAGGTTAAGTTACGGAAGGGGTTAAGTAGGAGTAAGGTTAGATTTTAGACGAGGGATGTTAGGTTAGGTTACGGTAGGGTTAAGTACGGGTAGGTTAGGTTTGAGACAAGGGAAGTTAGGTTAGGTTTGGGGGGTTAAGTTAGTTTAGATATGGGTTAAGTTACGAAAGGTTAAGGATGGGTTTGAGACAAGTGATGTTAGGTTACGTTACTCCAGGGTTAAGAACGTGTGAGATTAGGTTTGGCTCGGGTTGTTAAGGAGGGTTATGGATACGTTTAGTTTATAAGAAAAACCTCTTCAATATGAAGTTGTAGGAATTTCTTCCTCCAGTCTTATAACGCTCTAACTTTAGACTATTGTGCCGATGGGTTAAGTTTGGGACATGTTAAGTTAGGTAAGGTTAAGTACGGATTAGATTAGTTTTTAGACGGGGGAAATTAGGTTAGTTAACGGAGGGTTAAGTACGGTTAGGTTACGTTTGAGACGAGGGAAGTTAGGTTAGGTAGGGGTTAAGTTACGAAGGGTTAAGGATGGGTTAGATTAGGTTTGGCTCGGGTTAAGTTACGGAAGGTTATGGATAGTTTAGTTTACTTAAAAGAAAAACCTCTTCAATATGAAGTTGTAGGAATTTCTTCCTCCAGTCTTTTAACTCTCTAACTTTAGTCTATTGTGCCGATGGGTTAGGTTTGGGACATGTTAAGTTAGGTAAGGTTAAGTACGGATTAGATTAGTTTTTAGACGAGGAAAATTAGGTTAGGTAACGGTAGGGCTAAGTACGGTTAGGTTACGTTTGAGACGAGGGAAGTTAGGTTAGCAGGTACGGTTAAGTTAGGATTAGCACGTGCTAAAGTCGGTAGAGTTAGAAACGAATTAGATTAGGTTATGGTAGGGTTAAGTTAGGTTAGGTTACTGTTAGGGGCGGGTTATGTTTGACAATGTGTGGTTACGTAAGGTTAAATTAGTTTAAGGACCAGATAATTATGATAGGTGTAGGTTTAGGCTACATATCCATGCGATTCTGTCTGAGAGTGAAAAACCTGAAACATGGCTTTTTGCAAGCTTTCGGCTTAATTTGCATTATTATTGTTGGACTCCAAAATTAAACTTTTTTTAACCTAAGACAATACACCTAACAACACAGTAGAAATAAAACGAAAAAAAAAAAACAAAAAAAAAACAACAGTTCTCTTTGTCAACCACTTGAATCGTTATCGGGCCCAGATTGGTAAATTATCTATGCAATTTGTAACCCCATTCTCGCTTTTTCAATTTTCAATTTGGCAAGTTCATGAGTGGGCGCCATAGTCAATAAAATCTTTAGATTGCAAGCTATTTCATTATTGCAGTTCAAATGGTCGGCGAAGGACATGGGTACGCATCTCACTCTCTTATCTTTCTTGCATGGACTGGTGATCGTCCTTCCGCTCCATGGGAATCTCCGTATTCTCCTTAATCATCACCGCCCAAAACCATCCCTCATAATGTATGAAGACTGCCAACCGAAATATCTCTTACCACGTTTTAAAAATCGATAACCCCCCTCATCTATCTTCCAACTAAACAACTAACATTTCTTAAGCAAAACCATCGCAAAATGTCTCTGAGCCATCACTAACAAAACCAAATATGTCCTTCCTTAACCGATCTTAACATTAAATATTTCTAACAAAACCAAACTATATGTTAACATCATACATGTTAACAACAACATTAACATGTTAACAACACCGTTTCTAGCTATCTCTAAACCACCTCTATCTCTACATCGTCCACAGACGAAAACCATATTTAATAATTCAAAATCACTTTTATGTATAACTCATCCCCAAACTAATGCCATCCCTAACATAACACTATCAACACCAAATCATTCGCTGACCAAAAGCATATTTAATTATTTCAAAACCATCTCTATCTTTAGCTCATCCAATATCTAATACCATATCTAACAAAACGATCTCTATCGCTAAACCATCTTCTGATCAAAACCAAATTTACTTTCAAAACCATCAACTATCTCTACATCATCTTCTGACCTAAACAATATCGAATTACCGCTAAACAATCTCTAATAAAACTACCTCTGTGTCCAAATCATCCGTTAACCAAAACCATATTTAATTATTTCAAAACCATCTCTATCTCTAGCTCATCCAATATCTAATACCATCTCTAACAAAACGATCCTCATTTCTAAACCATCTTCTGATCAAAACCAAATTTAATTCTCTCAAAACGATCACTATTTCTACATCATCCTCTGACCAAAGCCATATCGAATTACCACTAAACAATCTTTAACAAAACCACCTCTATCTCCAAATCATCCGTTGACCAAAACCATATTTAATTATTTCAAAACCATCTCTATCTCTAGCTCATCCAATATCTAATGCCATCTCTAACAAAACGATCCTCATTTCTAAACTATCTTCTGATCAAAACCAAATTTAATTCTTTCAAAACGATCACTATTTCTACATCATCCTCTGACCAAAGCCATATCGAATTACCACTAAACAATCTTTAAGAAAACCACCTCTATCTCCAAATCATCCGCTAACCAAAACCAAATTTAATTATTTCAAAACCATCTCTGTCTTTAACTCATCCTCTAACTAATACTATCTCTGAGAAAACTATCTCTATCTCTAAATCATCCCCTAAAACAACCATACTTATTTATTCCGAAACTATCTCTAAATTATCCTTTGACGAAAAACCACCTCCACATCCTGTTTCTTAACCATCCCCTGAGCGAAACCATGTACAATTATAACTAAACTTCTCTAACAAAACCGTGCCTCATTTTTTTTAAGCTCACCATAAAGCGTTAAAAACCAACTTTAACTATCCGTAAATCATCTCGAACAAAACCAACTCTATCGCACTAAACAATTTCTAAAAACCCATAATTGACTTTTAACCCTCCCTTACAAAACCACATTTAATTATCTCTAAAACACCCCCTAACCCTAAGCCTATCTAACCAACCTAAACCATCTTTACTGCTGTTTATCCATGCTGTGACGGTCTGCCACTTATTTCGGCCCAGACTCACTGAAGATGGCGGATCAACAGGATGATAGTTAACGACCAATTACAGGTGTGAATCGTGGTGTATGGTATGTCACCATCTTCAACCACCCTTATGACATACTACCGTGATACCGTGTGCATCTCTCTCTAACTTGTCTTAGCCAAAACTAACGTATTTACCGAAGTCGAAAATATGGGGACCATCTTCAGGCGCCAAGATGTAAATCTCGCACTACCGCCGAAGGCCGTCCAAAGCGCGCAATTAGAAATTAGACAAACACCGTGACAATGGTTAAGATTTACCTTATCTCACCTGGTTGCAAGGGCGACGCAATGTCGCAATGTCGCCTATTCAACTAAATCAGTCACGTTCAGTTGCGCGACCAGTCCGGCCGAAGGAGGGAATTCGGTTCTAGCAGTCATGGCCTATTTGCAAGTCTCGTCTCAAGCCAGGTAAGTCCCTCCGGTTAGAACTTTGTTTTAAAGGAATCTCAACTAACTTACGGTCGAATTTCTTGAACATCGCCCCAGTTAGCAAGGGTGCAGTAAGGAAACAGCGATGCTAGGCGGACCCAAGGTGCAAGTATCTTTATACCGTATCTGTAGGAGGTCGTGAATTGTAGTTAATTATGTTTATTGATGGATTATTGAGGTTTAATTGTTGTCTTTTGAGTTAAGAGTTGTCCGGTGGTCTTCCCTTCGTGTAATTGGACAAAAATGGGGATGCAGTGTGGTTGTAGGTTAGATGTCGGTACTCCTCAGAGTGGTTCTTTTCCGTATCGTCCCTGGGGATGTTTCGGCCCCGGAGGCCCGGTTCTTAGATAGTCGGGTCAGCGGGTTTCTGTACCGAGGGCGACGTGCGGCCCCGCGAGGACCCGTTAATCGGTTGTCGCGTCTCTCCGGCCGGAATCGCCTCGAGGTGGGGGTTGGCTGGTGGGGAAAGGAAAGACGTCGGAAGCGAGATCGGCATTCGACGAGAAAACAGGAGTCGGCCCGCGACATCCTCCAGCATTCTTCCGATCGTCTACATCTCCACGGCCAATGGAGAGTAAACCGGGCAGGTTCATCTACACGTGAGTCCATCCTCACCTATTAAATCCCCCCTTTAAAAGAACTTAGCAAGTAAAAGCAAACATCATCAACACCAATTTCCTCCACGAAGAAGAGTTCCTGAACATCGCCAAAACAAAAATCACCCTCCTCGAGGTCACCCGGTTGCATCATTATTTTATATATCGTTACTGAAGAGGCGGAAAAAATCCCGAGCTAATCCTTGCATCACTTGATAAACGATTAACACATTTCACATGTTAAGTGTAACGTGTTATGTACGGATATCTATCAGATTTTGATCGTCCATACCCATCTCGACATATGTTCCGTAACTTTTATAAACAACCAGAAGTCAAACAATATCTCAATATTTTTATCCTATCTCTAATTATGCGTAACGATTACTAAACATCACTGACAATCTCTAACAAAACTATAAACTGATCCTATCACAAACCATAGTGATAGATGCTCCCCATAATAAATCATCTGGTGGTTACATATCAGACACCACGTTGTTTTAAAATAAATAAGGTTTGATAGAGATGTATTTGTTAGAGATGGTTACTCACCAGACACGATTGATGGTTTACTAAGGATGGATAGAGATGGTTTCGCTCAAATGTTAAATCACCAAATACCACGGTTGTTTAGATGGAATAAAGTTCGATGGAGATGATTTTTTTAGATGGTTACAAATCAGGCAATAGGGTGCTTTATAGAGAATAAAGTTGGACATAAATGATTTTTAAAAAATGGTTACACAGCGGTTTAAATAACAAAGTTGGATAGAGATGTTTTTTTAGATGATTACACACTAAGAACCTCGGTGGTTTAAGTTAAGGTTCGATAAGATTGATTAGAAATGATTTTTGTAAACGGTTACTCACCGGACTACACGACGGTTTAGATAGAACAAAGTTGGATAGAGATGTATTTGTTAGAGATGGTTATTCACCACATAACATGATAGATCTGGTGAATTTAGATATAATATGGGTGGGTAGAGATGGTTCCGTTAGTGTTTAGTCACCAGATATCACGGTTTTTTTAGATGGAATAAAGTTTGATACAGATGATTTTTTTAAGAGATGGTTTCAAACCAGGAAATAATATGGTATATATAGAATAAGTTTGGACATAGATGATTTTTTTTAAAACATGGTTATACACAGATTTAAATAACAAGGTTGGATAGAAATGGTTTTTTAGATGGGTACACACCAAGAACCACGGTGGTTTAGGTGGAATAAGGTAAGTTGATTAAGTTGATTTTTTTAGAAATGGTTACACACTGGATTACAATACAGTTTAAATAGAACAAAGTTGATAGACATGTTTTTTTAAGACATACTCGCCAGACACCACGACGGCTTATATAGAAGAAGGTTGGACAGAGATGGTTTTATTTAGAGATGTTGTTAGAGAGGTGTTAAAGATTTAACACCAGACACGACGGTGATTTAGATAGAATAAAGTTGGATAGATATGATTTTTTAAAGATGGTTACACGCAGACACCACAGTGGTTTAGATAGAATAAAGTTGGATATTTTTAAAAAGAAATCATCTCTAACCATTCTATCTTACCTATCGTGGTGTCTGGTAAATGATCAATTTCCTTGATTACTTCTAATCATCACCCCCATAACTATAGTGGTATATGGTGAGTGATCATCTGTAACAACACCGTCTAACCAACCTTATATTAACCTAAACCATCGTGGAATCTGGTGTGTAACAATCTCTAACAAAATCACTATTATTCCTCCAACTATTTTGGTATCTTGCGTGTGACCCTTTTACGACCATCCCGTCAAGGGGCTTAAACCTTAAAAAGCTCAGCGTGGGCGACTTTGAAACGTGCTTTTGAATAGAGGATGGTCGTTTCACGGCCTTGGTCTACTTGATTAATTTTAATCTCGACGACTTATTTAAGCGCTTAGCCTGGAAAACCCTATCATTTAATCGCTTATCCGAAGGGGCAATCTTTTTATTCTACGTACATTTCCTTCTTTTCCACATTACTGTCCTCCTTTTCCTTATCATACTTTATTTTTTTAAATGCATTTTTATTGCTATTATTTCCTTAAAAAAAGGGAATAAAAGGTCGGCCAAAGCCATTAATAAAAATTAAGGACAGGAAAAAGGAAACGGGCGATTATCACCACAGTCTTCTAACACTTTCGAAAATGATTTTAATGTTTTTTTATTTTATTATGCAATGTTCAAATGTTAAAAATTCACAGCGCTTTCTCATTTAAACTGAACGCTTGTTAACGACCACCATGGGAGGCACATCTGCACCAAATTGCCCTTCAAATCCATTAAAGTCCCCACCCCATTATTTATACGAAATGTAAACTAAAGACGACAACGTGTTTGTTGGATGCTTGGAGAGTGTTAGGGACGGTTGCACAATGGGTGTTCGTATTCACAAGGGTGGGTAGATATGGTTTGGACGGTGGTGGTTTAGGGTAGTTATACGTCATACACCACGATGGTTTGACATAAGGGTGGTCAGATATGGTTTAGAAGAATGTTAGAAATGGTCATTTACCGAATACCACGATAGTTTGGGATGAGGACGGTTTGGTTAGAGATCGTTTACACACCAGATACTACGGTGGTTTAAATAGAATTAGGGAGGATAGAGATGGTTAGTGATATTTACTCACTAGACAACACGATGATTTAAATATAATAAGGTCGGATAGAGATTTTACTCATCAGATAGTTATGATGGTTTGGTTAGAGTTCATTAGGATGGGATTACACTCAAGGTGGTTTTGTTAGAAATGGCCACCCATCTGATACCAAGGTATTTTAGGATAAGGATGGTATGGTTAGAAATGTCAATATACCAGGATAACACGATAAATTGGAAGGTTTGTCACAGATGGTCGTTCATACCAGTTAACACGATGGGGTTTAGCCAAGTTCAATAATTATTGATAAAGGAAAGTTCAGACATTTTTATAACATTTTCAATATTTTAAATACATCCGACAGACCGAAAACAGCCAGGACAAGCGGCCCCACTGCGCGGGTTGAAAAACCTTACAAAATCCGAGCGAAATTCTGCGTCCAACGACGCCCCCCCGTTCGTCGAATGCGGTTTTTTTCATAAACATGGCGACTAGAACAAGAGAAACGCCGATATACAAGAAGTTCAATGACAGCCAAAAGAAGAACACAGCGAAAACCACCGGGTTTTCTACATATTTTCCTGGTTTAAACTCGGCAAACATTCGTTTAAAACACGGAAACACAGACGGAATTGAGTCTTGTAAAAATGGCGTATTTCTTATATTAAAAGAATGGTTTTGGTTTTGACCACAAACGGTCAAGGAGTGGAAATCTCTTTCATTTTGTAAAAACTGTTTAACAATCACCCTCAAATCGTCAAGTGGGGTAATAAAATTATTATTATACCTCTTCGGCCTTGCAGGCTGTTGCGTAAAGAGTCAATGTGTACGCCGTCGCACGACACCCAAATCACAAAAATACGACTTTCGGAAGAGTGCAAACAAAATGTTTTACAGCTTCGAGGGGGGAGGCTTTAAAAAGCATTAAAAGTTATGCAATGGGTTTAGTTCAGAAGCCGTCGGCGACAAATAATAAATAAAATAAAAAAATCCAATTTCTTATATTTTTTTTTTTTTGTTCCGCAGGGTTTCAGACGATGCGAAGCTGTCGGTCGAGTGTGCTGCGGACAACAACATAAAGATCGACGTGGACCAAGGAGCAAAGACGAGTAAGCAACAACCGGCAATAAAAATGAAAAGCCCCCCGCTAATCTTTTTACAACCCTTTATTAGCATAATAGATAATATTTTACCACATTGTCAACAGAAGTGTACAAAATGTATTTTAGAAACGCCGCGACGTGGATGTATCTGTTCCGGATAGATTTGACGGACGGGTACCTAATATACGATTATCAATGTTTAACATTTCGATGCTAAATAGATTGATGCCGATAATCGATTATAAATAAAAATGGTTGATAACCCATAATAAGAAAACGGCTAGCAATCGCTGTTACAAAAGATGGTTGGCAATCGATTATTAGAAAACGTGGCCGAACATCGATTGTTAGAAAACATGGCTGTCGATCTATTGTTACAAAACATGGCTGACAATCGATTATTAGAAAACATGACTGACGATCGATGTTAGAAAGCATGGCTGACGTTCGATTGTTACAAAACATGGGTGACAATTGATTATTAGAAAACATGGCAGACTATCAATTACAAGAAAACACGGCTAACAATCGATTATAATACAACATGACTGACAATCGATTGTTAGAAAACATGAATGACGATCGATTGTTAGAAAACATGGCTGACGATATAATATCAGAAAACATGGCTCACGATCGATTATAATACAACATGACTGACAATCGATTGTTAGAAAACATGGCTGTCAATTGATTATTAGAAAACATGGCAGACTATCAATTACAAGAAAACACGGCCAACCATCGATTATAATACAACATGACTGAAAATCGATTGTTAGAAAACATGACTGACGTACGATTGCTACAAAACATGGCTGACGATATATCAGAAAACATGGCTGACGATCGATTGTTACAAAACATGGCCGACCATCGATTTCAATAAAACATGGACAACTGATTATTAGAAAACATGGCCGATAATCGATGATAAGAAAACATGGCTGACAATAGACCAATTTGAAATATGGTTCACAATCGATTAGGGAGGACATGAGCGATAATCGATTAGGATAAAAATGGCTAAGAATCGATATGCGTGAAAACGCGGCCGATAATCAATTGTAAAATAAAAATCGATTATTAGCATATATAGATTTCAATCGATTCATATCAAATTCATCATTCATATCAGCTCTAATTAATAGCAATGCTTCTTACCGATTATGCAGATTGTAGTAAAAAAAATTGATAAACCTACCAAAGTCTTGTTGAAATCGATTATCGATTATGTGTACTATTTGATAATCGATTACCAAACGGATAGAGGTTAAATCGTACACCCCATTTTTGAAGTTCTGACAACTAAAACCAAACTACAAAAACACCAAAATCCGATGTGGCAGCTTGGCATAAAAGAAAGTCTTGGCAGTTATGGCAAACGGAGTGGGAAACGACTTCTAATGTCAAACTTAGGGAGATAAAAAATAGTGTAAAACCCCACAAGTTGTGGGGGGGGGGTGTCCGGAGCGTGTGATGCTGCCGGGGCCCTGGTTCCCGCTATTGGGGGGTTCCTGAGCTGTGGCCCAATCTCCACCCGGCTTGAAATTTTTTAAGGCGGAAAATGACCCAAAGCGGTTGATCGCCTTTTATAATTTATATAAAAAAAAAAACAAAAAAAACCACTCTATTTTTCAGACGATGCCGTGATAAACCCTCTGAGAACGTACGCCGAGGTTTTCCTCGCGGAGGCGTTGGCCACCGGCTTCCTCCTATCTATCGGCTGCATGTCCTGTGTCGAAGGCGTCACCCCGACTCCGGTCACCGACTTCCACTCCGCAGTCGCTTTCGGCTTTCTCGTTACCATTTTAATATCTGTACGTTTTTCGAAAAATTCTTGGTTGTACGTGTGAAAGGTTTTTTTTTGGTTTAGGTTTTCGGGCATATATCATCTGCCCATATGAACCCAGCGTTGACGATAACCTTCTACCTCCTCGGCCGCATATCCCTCCCGATGGTCTTCGTCTACTTCTCGGCCGAGGTGTTCGGGGCTGTGGTCGGCGTCGGCCTTGTCAAGGTAATGACCTGGGGGGGATTTAATTTCAAAATACTGACTTTGATCGGTTCGTCAGCTTGTGACACCACCTGAGCTCTTCGGTCCAACCCTGTGCGTCACGAGACTCGGCGATGCTATCCAACCGGTTCAAGGACTAGCCGTCGAGTTCGCCATCACGTTCGTGCTCGCCCTACTTGTCTGCGCCATGAACGACAAGAGGACGGCGGCTCTGCAGGATTCGGGGTCGATCAAGTTCGGTACTGTCATCATCGCGATGTCCTTAGCCGCCGGGAAGTACACCGGAGCGAGCATGAACCCGGCCAGGTCGCTGGCTCCTGCCATCTGGAGCAATTACTGGACAGCCCATTGGGTAAGTGACCCAGACCAAACCAACTAAAAAAACAACAACATAAAACACTAAAAATATTGTTTTCCAGATCTACTGGGCAGGTCCGATCGCTGCTGGCATAGCTGCACCCTTGCTCTACATACACTGCTTCAACAAGGAAAATTAAACCACCTTTTTTGTAAATAAAATGTACATAAAACCACTTTTATATGGTTATTTTTGTTAACCTAAAGTCAAAATTGCTACAAGCTTTTGGGTCTTCTTGGTACTCAGTGGTACTTTGGTGTTCAACTAAAATAACAGGTTGAGAAAGTTAGTGAATACGTTTATTTCACCAGAGAGTGCATTTTTTCAACGGGTTCATCTCGGTCCCGAGAGGACAGTCGAAGTCTTCGGCGAACTCGTCCAGATTAGACATGGAACCGACGACCCTGGCATGGGAAGAGAGCTTTGAGCTTGTGATCATCATGTGCCTCAGGGTTTCCGTCCTAAAAAAAATCAGTCGGTTTTCGAGATTTTTCATAGTCAACCTTGACAACCTGTAAGTTGAGCACATGACATTGGCCGCGCTGATCCAGAACATTTGTGACGGCGTGTACACTTCCAGCCCGGGGGCCCAGAAATCTGTACCGTCTTCCCCGATCCAATTTTTGTACGCCTTGTACGCATATCTAAAACCAGAGACATCTGCGATGTTCTCGCCCAGGGTCGAGGTGCCGTCCACCTGGAACGGGAATAAGTCTCACTTGCCGAAATGTACACGTGAGTCATGTACCAATCGATTTTAGGAAATCATGGAAGGCAAGTCATTATAAGAACACAGCTGACAATGGATTTTAAGAAAATATGGCTGACGATCGATTGTTAGAAAACATTGCTGAATGTCAATTAATAGGAAACATGAATGACGGTCCATTGTAAGAAAACACGGCTGACGATTTGATTTTTAGAAAACATGGCAGACGATCGATCATTAGAAAATCTGACTGACGATCTATTGATAGAAAACATGGCTAATGATCGATTGTTAGAAAATCTGGCTGACAATAGATTATAATAAACATGACTGATAATCGATTGTTAGAAAACATGAATGACGATCGATTGTTAGAAAACATGGCTGACGATTCGATTTTTTGAAAACATGGCAGACGATCGTTCATTAGAAAATCTGGCTGACGATCGATTGATAGAAAACATGGCTGACGATGGATTGTTAGAAAATCTGGCTGACAATCGATTATAATAAACATGACTGACAATCGATTGTTATAAAACATGAATGACGATCGATTGTTGGCTAACAATAATTTGAAATATGATTCACAATCGATTAGGAGAAAAATGGTTGAGATTCCATTGCGTGAAAACGTGGCCAACCATCGATTGCAGCAATAAACCATGGATGACGATAGATTATTAGAAAACATGACTGACGATCAAATGTCAGAAAACATGATCTCATCTGCGTGAAGGTAAAACAACCAAATGTACCAAAGTACAATATATTGTACTTATACCAAAGCTCACCTTCATACCCGCCTGTACGTCCGTGTAGTTGCTGTATTTTTCAACGAAGCATTGGGCCAATTTCATATATTTGCATTTTGTTCTTATAAAACTTTTGTCCTCGTGGCTCCTCTTCTGTCTGAACAGCCTTCCCTTTGAAGAAAAGTACGAATTTTAATCCACAAAACAAAAATCCATCCTCTTTGATGTTACCTCCTCGTCGAAAGCGTGCATTAAAGTCCGCCCTATGATGAACCCCATTTGGGCGAATGTCATCCAACCCGGCGTTTCGCGGGACGCATCCCACAGGTTCGCAGGAGGCAGGTCTGGAACGAGACAGTCATGATTTACAGCCCATGATCCGATCATAATGACGTACAGAAGAATTTCCCATCGACGTCGTACACCGGGTCCACGCCGAGTGAGAATTCGCCCATCCTCGCCCATAACGAAATCTCGCTCGGAAACTTTAAATACTCGCGTCTCTTCGCCTGTTTGAACTTCATCACGGCAAGCCCTCCGTCCAAGTAGGTCGCGTTCTTATCGATGGTGAGCTGTGGGGACGATTCTACTTGTACTAACTTCTACCACTCGGTCTCTTAGTTTACCTCTTTGTAGTATTCGGCTATTAAGGTCTTGTTGAGGAGTTCTTCTTGATAGACACTGATGACAATGTTATAGTCCAGCCTGTATGCAGAAAAATACCTGGAAGACATTCCTTTAGACTAGCACTTGAAACCTCAGCCTCCTCGCCTACCTCGTCGAGTAGTCCATCCAATCCAAGACTTCAAACGCCTTGTTCAGTTCTTTCTTTACAGAATCTACCATAAAGAGGGCTAGGTTTTTGGCAGTGTCGTTGAGAGTTTCCTGGTAGACGTATGCGACGGCCATGGCTAGGTTTCCCATCACGAAATCGCAGCAGGACCAGGCTAAACCTGGGCGAGATTCAACGCCGGTCATCGCTTTCAAAACTCGATTACGGCTTTGTGTGAACTTCGACGTCAAGAAAAGGACCGAAGAATCGACCGTCCTCCAAAGGATGTAGTTTGCGATGGTCCTGGAAAAAATGTTCGGATCATCTCTGAAGGAATAAAGGCGTACCTCGCCGCCACCTTTTCGGGGTCCTCTCCAGCAGGCTTTCGAGTCCGGCTAGGTACTTAGGCGCGAAAACGAGCACCCGTTGATCGTCCGAAAGAACTTTGCCGTCCGGCCAAACTAAACTCATAATATACTCCTTCCAGGGGATCGACGGGAACTTGGTCGACATCTCCCGGATCGTCATGACTTTGTACATTTTCTTGTAGTTCATACGTTCCCTCCTCGGGTGAGAAAGCTGAAATAACTGAAATTGTAAGGTTTGGGAACTCGGAGGGTCCATTTTGGGCCACCTTCCCACACGACCGTTTTTGACTCTACCCTTGCCACCCCAAATACCTCACTCCACTCTGAACTAACCGTCAAACCTTTTACCATCCCAAACAACTCTGATCAACCTTAACATATCTTAATTATCCCTACCCATTACTAACCAGCTCTAACTAACCATTGCTGTTTAACCTTCTCTAGTCTACCTCAAACATACCTAACAATCTTTAGCCAACTCTAACATACCACTTCTTACAATCCTCACACTGTCCACCTTTCCCCTTCTTCACCATCTCTACTAGCCATAACTAACCATCTTTATCGAACCCTCTCTTACTAGCATCTAACAGGTCACCTCCTACCAACTTTAAACACCATTCATTCAAAATGAATATGACTAACTCCCATCACCTCTATTTTTTACCATCTCGAACAATTCTGACCAACTTTAACGCATCAATCCATACCGTTTACTCACCATGGTAAACCTTAACTGACCTAAAAAATATTGAGTAATAACTTTTAACCACCTCTGAAGACGGTAAGAAGCCGAAATGTGTCTGACATGCCAAAGAAGCGAGGGCAGGCGGACCAGTATGATCGGAAAGGATCAAATACAAGGTTTTACCTTAGCCAGTTCGATCTCGAACTGTAACGACTGTAGCATCTCATTCTCAGCCCGAAGTAAGTCACCTTTGAGCAAGACGGCCACTTCGACCATGTAATTGTAGTAACTCTTGACAACCGGGTTTTCCTCCCCTTCAACCATGTACTCACGATCGACGCCCAGCGAAGGCTGGTCCAACTTGGGAATCATGACGTTCGGGTAGAACGGATCCTCCGAGACGCCGAATCTGACGAGGAATTCGACGTCCACGCCCCATTCGGACAAACGGTACGTCGCGTCCGTCCACGTCCATGTGGCCTGAGGCCAGGCGTCCTCCAGGACGGGCCAACCCCCTACACTCTCAAATATTTTGAAGAGCGTATTATGCCCGGCTGAAAAAAGTTACTCTAGTACACTATGCTAACACGTTTTGACAGAACTTACTTTTACTTTTGCATAATTTATAGACGGATAATGCTTCGGCAAACGGGCCGAAGTTTTCATGGTCCCCGGGATCTTCGAAGATCGAGATCATGTAGCCCCTAAGCATCTCTTTCAGTGTAGTGCTGCGACTCAGGACGATCTGTTCGTCGGGTATGTAGCTCGTACTTTGCAGGCCGCAGGCGAACCTGTAGAAATCATTGCACGGCATGGCATCTTTGTCCATGCTGGACAGAATGGCAGACGCTTTGGAAAGCCGATAAAAAAGATCAACAAACTTGATGGGAATTAGAATAAGAAACAATTACCAGCCTCCAGGCATTTTTCAGCCGTGCACATATCATCTGCAATAGGAGGCGTTGTAACTTCAGCCCACTCTACCACCTCTGAAACTTCAAAAAACTCTCAACACCCTGGAAAAGATTTACTGTCTAATTATACCTTCAGTTTGGGCAGTTTGGAAGAAAATAACGATAAACATAGCACATACGAGGACAAAGAGCAGGACAACAGGAATCAGCACCTTTTCCAGAAGAGTCTTCCTCTTCCAACAACCACCTCTGTTAAATTATTAAAAAATCATACATGAACACTCATGGTCACCGATAAAAGACAACTCACTCTGCATCGCTCATCTCGCTCAAAGACCTGACTGTCTCTGTAGGTTCCGGACTACCTCAGACCCCTCCTGTACGTCTCTCAATTGTTAATTAGTAACAATAAACTGATTCGAGCGACTCTCGGCTGGAATTGGGACCAATTGTGACGGGGACGTGACAAGGAACGTGGGCGGTGCATTTTGATGCATACATCGTTTAAGAGCGGAGCGTGGGCCGGCCTTTACTTCCTTCCCCTCAACGAGTGAGTTCAATTAGCGCGGTTAACATCTTGTAAACCTTGCAATAGCGAAACGTTGATGATGGCTGGAGAATGAAGAATATGAAGATAAGAAGGGGACCGAACATCAATGATAGTTTGGGTTTAGTCAGCCAATCGCCAGATACCATAATAGTTTGGGATAAGATCGGTTTGGTTAGAGATGGTTTGGAAAGGATTACACCAGATACCAACATAGTTCGGATAAGGACAAACAGTAAGCAGTACGATAGTAATTGGGTTAAGGATGGTATTGTCACGCCTCTAATCGCCAGTACGATGGGCAGGGGCGGGAGCGGATTATCTTTTCCGTCTCTTATGATCAGAGCGGGGGACTCACTCCTGCCCTGTCTTTGGTGCTGTCCAGACGATTTTAATTAGAAATTTTTCTTTCAAGGTGAGTCAAGGCTCCCCCTTAGTTATTCAAGGTTTTTTTATTTCTCCCAGAAAACGTATTTTGTTTCTTTAAAATTTGAAGTTGTAATTTTATTTGTAAATACATTTTGAGTTGAGATTTTGTTTTGTTATTTTTTTTTTAATTTAAAACTGGCGAGAGAGCCGGACCATAAATTTTTGGTACACCCTTTGAGGTCAAGCAAATACCCAAGGGGTTACATGGTAGCAGAGCGAACAAATAGCGCTTAAACTTTGCTGTTTGATTATAACTAAAATTTTAACTTATTAAAGTATATATATTACACAGGGCGGGCGACCAGGACCCGAGGGGTTAAANTCCTATGTATATTTTTAATGTGGCCTTTCCAATCAAGTTTCCTATCTAGCGTTATCCCTAGGAACTTGATTGTATCCTTTAATTTTAATTCAATGCCCTGACATTTTGGGTTTTTAAAATTACCTATTGATCTTCTCCTGCTGAACATTATCAGTTCCAGTTTAGCAGGATTTATCGAAAGACCTTTGTCGCTACACCATCCGACTTATTAAAGTAAGATCTTTTAATTTTTTTTCTCTAAGGAACAGGAAGATGTCTGATCCAGTTCAGTGTTTAACATATGCCAAGTTTGTGCAAAAAGATGAAGGGTGCGTTTGTAATAAATGTGAAGGGTCTTTTCATTTTAGGTGCACACGTTTAGCTTCACGGGAGACACGTAAAAATGAGTTTCGAACGAAGGGAGAAATGGAAGTGTGGCAATTGCTCCGGTAACACCGACCCCATAGCTATAAAAACTATTAACAATGACATAGTAACATTGAAACACGAAAATACACAATTAAAAAAGCAGACAGAGGCCTTAAATAACAAACTGGACCAAATTTTGACATTGTTAGGAACGCTGACTTTCAACAAATCTACAATAGAAAGTACAGACATACAAGAAAACACAACAAAATTGGATACCATCACAAAAATAAATAATACCGTTCATTCGGACGACGAAACAAATAAACTCCCCGAGACTCTTAAAGAAAAAATTCTCAGATCAGCAACGGTCGAACAAAAACCAGTATTAAAATTACCTAAGTATTTGGAAGACGTTATTAAAGACGTACCGAGATTAGAAACAGATAAACCATGGTCTATTCTTAAATTTGTTAACCAACTGTATGAAATAAATGAATTAGAAAGCAAATACCCAAGGGGTTACAGTATTGTTAGACCCACCGGGCACTACGATAGTTTGGGATGAGGATGGTGTGGTCAGATATGGTCAATGCTTTGTGGATGGTTATGCACCAGGCGCCAAGATAGTCTTTAGTATAACTATAGTCTGGTTAAAGATGGTTACAAATTAGCCAAGGATGGTCTAGTTGGAGATGGTTGGTATGGTATGGTATGGTAAAAAAGGATACTAGTAAGCGGGGTTTGCGCTCCCCAGGCACTGCAGCCTTCTGGTTTATTGTACCTTCCTAGTTCCTTGGTTCAGTGCAATAGACTCAATCCTTCTCCTTAGAAGTATCAGGTCATTGACTGTCGCTGCTGCAATTTAATTCTCTAAGTTTTTTCTGTATGTTAGGTTAAATCTCGTGAAGAGTTGAATTGGAGGGATTGGGTGATGTAAAGAGGACGACAAGTGTGGATGGACTGGAAAAGAAAGCAACCTAGGAAATACTGTGCACGGAAGGAGGGGAAGAGCCAGTAAAGTTGGGAATACAACCCTGACACCCGGGACCCCCGTGGGGTGCCGAACACAAATCTTACGCAACAATTCATAATCGCTTCAATTGCTCCCCCCCTCTGAGAGAGTATAAGGGAAGATGTAAGGAGTTTGCGGGTGGAGAAAGGTAAGAGAAGCCAGGACCAACGAAATAGGCTGAGATAGAAAAATAAGTATGTAAATAGGTCAAAATAAATACAAAAACGTTCTAAAACTAAGTAAATATCAAAAGACTAAAAATACTTCCTAAAAGTATGTTTTTTCCTGTTCGATTTTGAACTACCGGTTGAGTCGAGAGTTGCAAGTTAGCGCACGAAGCCTATCGACTATTTAATCTTGATCATCTCTTGTATCAATATTGGTAAAAATAGGTCAAAATATATAGAAAAACTTTCTAAAACTAAGGAAATATCGAAAGTATAAAAAAAACACTTCGGAAAAGTATGTTTTTTGTCGGTTTTTCGATTTTGAACTACCGTTTGAGTCGAGAGTTGCGAGTTAGCGAACGAAGCCTTTCGAATAGTTCATCTGCATCTCTTGTTTCAATCTTGTTAAAAATCAGTCAAAATATCTACAAAAACTTTCTAAAACTAAGGAAATATCAAAAGTCTAAAAAACTTCGTAAAAATATGTTTTTTTCCGGTTTTTCGATTTTGAACTACGGTTGAGTCGAGAGTTGCGAGTTAGCGCACGAAGCCTATTGACTATTTCATCTTGATCTCTTGTATCAATATTGGTAAAAATAGGTAAAAATATATAGAAATACTTTCTAAAACTAAGGAAATACCAAAAGTGTAAAAAAACCTCGTAAAAATATGTTTTTCCAGTTGTTTGAGTATGAACTACTGGTTGAGTCGAGAGTTGCGAGTTAGTGATTGAAGCCTTTCCACTACTTCAACTTGATCTTGCGTATCAATCTGGTTAAAAAATTGGTCGAAATATATTTAAAAAACTCCAAAACTAAGGAAATATCAAAAGTCTAAAAAAACTTCGGAAAAGTATTTTTTTATACTGTTTTTCGATTTTGAACTACCAATTGAGTCAGACCAGGAGGCCATGAAGCTGTGTGTATTGAATAACGTTCACTACAAAAAATGAAAACTTTATCTAGTTGGGAAAACCCGAACTTTTGTAAGTTCTAACTTTTCTAACCAGGTACTGTAATTGGTAATAGGTTTTATTTTAGGAACACTACCTGTATTAAAATTTGCAGATAGTACAGATAGTATTAAACCGAGAGGATTATATTGGCTGCTGGGGCAACAATAAAATATTAAAACTAACATGCTCACTAACCTGACTGCCAGCAGAGAGAGTTGATTTACCATTTGTAAATCCCTCCTGGAAAAATAAAAAAGTAAGTTTAAATGAGAGAATAGTAGACAAGGTACATAAATAGATGTTATATAAATGAAATTTACCCTCTGAAGGCAACAATCCTCGCTTTAAAACTGCTACGTTGAACCAGCTAACTACACACTGATCAACACTCGCGAAACAACTTAACGCACTGTTTAAATAGCACTTTGTGAAAATGTAAAACAATGTGGTGAAAATGGAAAAACACCCTTGAAAAAACAAAACAGTAATGTATAAAGCATACAATAAATTAAATGTAATTTATACACAAAACTTATTTACAAGACTATACAAAAAATTGTATTAATTGTAACAGTGACCTAAAGTGACCTATAAATTTCGACAGAGGGATGTGTCAATCTATGCCTGCCATCAAAGCTTTTAGCAAAACCGTTTGTATTAAAAGAAGTTCGCTACAAAAATGATAACTTTATCTAGTTGGGAAAGCCCAAACTTTTGTAAGTTCTAACGCTTCTTAGCAGGTTCTGTAATAGGTAATAGGTTTTATTTTTGGAACACTACCTGTATTAAAATTTACAGATAGTATTAAACTGACAGGATTATATTGGCTGCTGGGGCAATAATAAAATATTAAAATTAACATGCTCACTAACCTGTCTGCCAGCAGAGAGAGTTGATTTACCATTTGTAAATCCCTCCTGGAAAAAGAAAAAATTAAGTTTAAATGAGAGAATAGTAGACAACTTACACAAATGGATGTTATATAAATGAAATTTACCCTTTGAAGGCAACAATCCTTGCCTTAAAACTGCTATGATGAACCAGCAAACTACACACTGATCAACACTCGCGAAACAACTTAACGCACTGTTTAAATAGCACTTTGTGAAAATGTAGGAAAAAGATACAAAAACATCACAACACCACCTAGAAAAGAAAAACACAACAAATGAATAAAACTTAAATAAATTAAATATAATTTACACTAACAATCAGATTACAGAAAAATTGTATTAAATAATAATTATAACAGACAAAAATGGCGGAATATGATTGACTAATACTAAAGAGAATCTCCACATAAATAATTTAAAAAAATCTTATGTATGTTTTGTTTGAATTTTCAACAGGAATGAACTTTTGGTCAACCAATAAGTTTTAACAGCACTGATATAATAGCAAAGGCTACAAAACATACAATATAGTACATGTTTTTATTATAAAAAGAACTTATTTCAAAAAGAAATTTTAAAAAACTTTGACTTTATATTGTCAAATTCTTTTGTTGTAGGTGCAAAAATTGGTTCTGATGATGATTTTAGTGAAAAGAGCAAAGTAATTGAAATAAACAGCTCCAATTATAATTGTTTTTGTTAATA